AAAAAGACCTCACAAAAAGCAACTTCAGAGAGGTTTGTTCTGATTCAGTTGGACAGGACAGTATGGCAGCAGGAGTGTGAACATCTGTCCTCACAGCATCCGCAGCCAGGAAACAGAGACCATTGAGTGCCTGTGTTCACCTTACGTCCTCTTTGTTATTCAGACCAGGGCTCTAGCTGTGGAATGGGGCTGTCTGGTCTTGCAGTGGGTATTCACTGCTCACTGGGGCTGTCTGGTCTTGCAGTGGGTCTTCACTGTGCACTGGGGCTTCCTGGTTTTGCAGTGGGTCTTCACTGCGCACTGGGGCTGTCTGGTCTTGCAGTGGGTATTCACTGAGCACTGGGGCTTCCTGGTTTTGCAATGGGTCTTCACTGCGCACTGGAGCTTCCTGCTTTTGCAGTGGGTCTTCACTGAGCACTAGGGCTGCCTGGTTTTGCAGTGGGTCTTCACTGAGCACTGGGGCTGCCTAGTTTCGGGGTGGATCTTCAATGTGCACTGGGGCCGCCTAGTTTCATGGTGGGTCTTTGCATGTGCCCAGAGACTTGTCTCCAAGGGGATTTCAGGTCTTGTCAAGCTGACAACCAATGTCACCCATCACAGGTTTAGGGCTTTTTCTACCTCTTTAGTACCCTTAGACTCTTTGTAGGGACGTCAGGGCATCCTGGGCCATTCTGGATAGGGTGGGCTTCTTATCAATGTTTATCTTCCAATCTACAAACACAGAACATCTTTTCATCTGTGTCTTTTTTCAATTTCTTTCACCAATATTTTTAGTTCTCAGTGAACAGATCGTTGACTCTTTGGTTAAGCTTATTCCTAAGTATTTTATTATTTTCACAGATTTTGTAAAAGGAATTGTTTTCTTTTCAGATTTTTGTCTATATGTAGAAATGTCACTGATTTTCAAAAATTAATTCATTCCTTCATTTTACATTGCGACCACAGTTTCCCCTCCTCCCTTTCCTCCCAGTCTCTCCCCCCACCTCCCCTCTGCCTACCCTCTCCCATCCATTTCTCCTCCATTTTTATCAGAAAAGGGCAGGCCTCCCATGAATATTGACAAAACATGGCATATCAAGTTGTAGTAAGACTACACCTCTTTGTATATTAAGGCTAAGCAAGACAACCCAGTATGAGGAATAGGGTTCCAAAAGACAGTAAAAGAGTCAGAGACAGCTTCTGTTCCCACTTTTAGGTGTCACACAAAATGACCAAGGCACATAACTATCATATATGTGCAGAGGGCCTAGGTCAGTCCCAGGCAGGCTCCCTGGGTGTCAGTTCAGTCTCTGGGAGCCCCTATGAGCCCAGGTTAGTTGATTCTGTGTTTTTTTTTTTTGTGGTATCCACGACCCTGTGAGTCCTACAATCCTTTTCCCTCTCTTCAGCAGGAGTCTCAGAACTGGTCATCTCCTGGGATCAGGCAAGACTCCTAGCAGAGGGATTGGGACACCAATCCAGCCACATAACATTGAACCTACAGTCTGTTTGCCTATGGGCTGTGCTGGAGAAAGAGTAGAACAGAGATTGTGGGAGTGGCAAACCAATGACTGGTCCAGCCTGAGACCCATGCCATGAGAGTGAGCCTATCCCTGACAATGCCTGAAGCACCAGGACCCAAAGGTTGGATGGCCTAGAAACTTAGGATAGAACTAAACACTACTGAAGAAAAAAAATGTCAATGCAATGATGCCTAATAATACTCTGCTATCCTCATAGATTGGTCTCCAGCCCAATCGTCATCAGAGAGGCTTCATCCAGAAACTGGTAGAAACAGATGCAGAGATTCACAGACAAACATTAGGTTGAGTTCAGAGAATCCTGATGAAGAAATGTTACTGATTTTTATACATTGATTATGTATCCTGTAATTTCACTGTCTTTATTCTAATGTGTGTGTGTATATATATACATATGTATATATGTATATGAGTGTATGTGTGTTTAAAATCTTTAGGATTTACTACAACAAGATTATGCCATCTGAAAACAGAAACAACTTAATATTCTCCTTTTTGAAAACAAGGAGAATTTAATTCCCTCCTTTCAATGTGGACACCTGGGAGGCAGAGGCGGGCGGATCTCTGTGAGTTCAAAACCAGCCTGGTCTATAAGAGCTAGTTCCAGTATAGCTAGGACTGTTAGACAGAGAAACCCTGTCTCAAAACAACAACAACAACAACAACAACAACAACAACAACAACAACAACAAATCAATGTGGACACCAGTCATTGCTCTTCCTTGCCTAGTTATTCTGCCTGGGACTCTCAGCTCTATGCTGAACAGAAGCCACGAGAGTGAATTAACCTTGCTTTGCACCTCATTTAAAGGGAAGCTTTCTGTAGCAGTTTTCTTCAAGATTAAAACCTTCTGTAGTGGAGGGAAGGAAGCTCAATAATACAGATGTTAAAAGACAGGTGAATCTAAGGGGAGCGGAACAATTTCATCCCTCAGGAAAGCTCATTAAGCTCAGGAAGTAAACAACCCAATAGTCGCAGGAAGTCCCTGAAACTGACCAGGGTTACTCTGGCCCTCCCTTCTCAAGAATATTTTGCTCTGTCATCGGTTCCCTATCTGGGATGAGTAGATGCTTGTTTACATCTCGTCAGGAATAATGCTGCACAATGGGAAGATGTTCCCATTTTTCACAGTCAAGCTTCTTGTTAGCCGTGGATTTATCATATATGTCCTTGACTGTAATAATGTTCAAAATTTACAGAGCCTAGCATGGTGCTGGATGTAATTCTTAAGTAGCAGTTTAACTAGACAATAATATAGATAATGGACTTAAAATGATCATTTATTTCCCATCTGATACTGTATCTGGTATAAGATGAGCATACACACATACACACACGTATGTATATATATCACTTTAGATACTGATGGTCCTGGGAGGATGAAGAACTCTGGGCATGCTCGCATCTTGGGGTGCCCAAGTCTTCGTTCTTGATAAGCTCCTGGATGAAGCTTGGTAGTCAAACTTGGAAAGAGGGAAATAAAGTGATCCCACTGAGCCATCCCTCTCTGGATAAAACTGGCACTGAGCTAAGAAAAAGATGTGTTCAGAAGTAACTGCATTTGTGGGGCTCTTACTCTGACAAGTGACAAAAGATGTGTGGTCACCAGAGTGCCAGAGAACACGTAGGTACCCAGCAGGTTTGAATGGGAAATGTCCCACACAGGCTTAAGTGTTTGAACATGTGGTCCTCGGCTGGAGGTGGTCTTTGGGGAAGTATGTCCCTGGGGCAGGCTTTGAAAGTTCAGAGCCTCACCCCACTTCCAGTGTGCTTTCTCTGCTTTGCATTCCTGGCTGAAGACGTGAGCTCTTAGTTTCCCGTCCTTGCCACATGTCTCCCTCTGGCTGTCAGGCCTCCCACCATGATGGACCTTTATCCCTCGGCAATCATAAGCCTAAATAAACTTATTCATAAATTGTTTTTGGCCATTGTGTTTCATCACAGCAACTGAAGAGTAACCCACACAGGGGCCACTGGTGATAACTGGATGTTCAACAAATTGGATCTCCGTGCCAATAAAAACACACCTGTGCTTCTTAGTCTTAATTCCTTTATATTCTTGGCTGTGAATGGAGCCTGGGGCTTTGGGTACGCTAAGCAAGTGCTCTACCACTGAGCTACATCCCTAACTCTCTCTCTCTCTCTGTAATGAGTCTTTGGATTCAAACCTGTTTTGATTTTTCTAGAAGGATTTGAAGATAATTTTATTGCCTTGGGAAGGATAAAAGAGAAATAAGTTCTCTGAACTTGGTCTGTCCTTTCTAATGCAAGAATGTGGAATGAGACAAAAGAATCAACAGAAATATTGGGCGAGGCGTCACTTTCTGGGTACGTTTATGTCAAAAAATGCATCACAGTGAGATTTGCCTAAGTTTCTCCTGATAGCTCTTATTTTTAAGGCTTCATTTTAATTAAAAATTGTGTGTATTTGTGTGAGTCTGTGCACGTAAGTGTGAGGGCCTTTGGAGGTCAGAAGAGGGTGTCTGACCCCTGAGCTGGAGCTACTGGCCCTTTTGAGCCACTCGGCCCTGGGGCTGCAGTAGGAACTCCTGTCCTCACCAAGGATCCGTCTTATCCACCGAGCCACCTCCCCAGGCCCTCCTGACCTGATTTGACTGATTTCTGCTTTTTAGTGCTGGGGACTGGACCGAGAGTCTCAGGCACATCGCGTAAGTTTTTTACCAACGAGCCACACCTCAAACCCCCAGCCTCTTTTAATCTCTGGCCTTCAGAGCTTGCTTTACGATGCCTTTCTGAGTGATGGATGAGAGAAAAATCCCAGGGATGATTCTGGGGTCCAAGTTCCCGAGGAAACTTCTCAGTGAGAGAGCTCACAGCTAGAAACCATGCCTAAGGGCCAATGGGAGTATCAGCCACATGGTTATCTGCTTGCCGTTACACACCACAGCTGGGCGATTTTCTGGGCGGACTATTTTGAGTTCACTGACTACATCTTCTGAGTGGGAGCTGAGATGTTCATCATTACTGTCCTGGGGAGCAGTGACTTCCAGACACCGCCCAGGGAACTTGGCTTCTACAGGACTGCCTGGCAAGCATCCCGGGAGGACGAAGAAGAGGCGACCGGGCACACACTGCCCCAACCACAATAGCAAACACACTTGGATGAGCTCAGGTGGGGATCCCCCAATGACTCCTGCATCTGAAAACCATGGTACCCACCCCTGTGAAGGGCTAGGGCAGTGGTTCTCAACCTTGGGACACAACGCCTTTAGGGCATTGAATGACCCTTCCACAGGTGTCATGTAAGACCATTGGAAAACACAGATAATTACAATACAATTTATAATAGCAAAATTACAGTTATAGAGTAGCAACAAAAAAAAAACCTTTATGGTATGTGGGGGGGTCCCCACAACACCAGAAACCGTATTAAACGGTCGCAGCATTAGGAAGGTTGAGAAGCACCAGCCTAGGGGGTCAGGGTGATGGGAGCAATGGTGTCTGGCATGTGGAATTACCTGTCTGTGGAGCCAAGCTTCACTTTCATCTTCATGTTTCTGAAATGGAATTGGAGTGTTAGAAAGGCGCTTTTGCTCGCTTGCACGCACCGTGCAGAGAATGATTTAATCACACCTACATGGCAACTGCACTTGCACAGAGTGGCCACCCGAGCCTCTCAGTGTCGAGGTAATCCCTGCTCCCTTTGTTCTATACTGTGAGCTCACAGCCCAGCATAATTATCCTCGGGCAAGGAGAAGGCCACTGTCCTTCGCAACCAGGGCCATCCACAGCGGTGAGTGGTCCTGTGGAAGCTGATGGTATTTCTAATACTTGGTGATCACCACTGGCCAGCCTGTGCCACCTGGCAGCCACACTAGCTGGTCGTGTGTTTACTTGACCATTGCTGTTGGTCAGTATTTCCTTCATGGGCAAGCGTCAGGTGCTGCACTGTTAGGAATTGGTGTGTGTGCGCACGTATGCACGCACTAGTGAGTGAGGTGATCAAAATGCCAATTTACAATTCCAAGAAACAATCATGGAAAACAAAGCCAGTTAAAAGGGGTCAAAGCGTGCATGAAAGTTGCTCCCTGGAACTGTGTGCAAAGATTTACAAACACATCATGCCCTAAGCACCAGATGACTGCTTTGCTCAGTTGCTGCCACCAAAGGTGCCACCAGCCTGGGGCTGGTCCTGCACTGTCTGTGGCAGCCAGAGTGGCTGCTCCTATTGTATGGTGGGCACATGAGGCAGGCACAAAGAAGATTCAAATGTTCAGCACAGATATCGATCCCTGAGCCCTGCCTGCTTCACCCTCCCCTTCAGCAAGCCCATCAGAACAACCCAGAGGAAATATCAACCCAACGAGGTGTCAGAGGCAGGATCAGGTCACTGTGACCTCCTAGAGACACCTCCCACCCCCAGCAGTGTGCTGAGAGCTGCCTGGTAGAGTCCATAGGTCTAAGTGAACCTGCCCAAATCTGATGTTCCTTGCTGGAAAGATAGAAACTTGGGGTCAGAGCCGTCTCTGGAAGATCAGCCTGGCGTGTCACTTGGTCTTTTAAATTCAATATGAGGTGACTTTCTTAGGGCTTGGGCTCAGCAATGTGGAAGGCTGGGCTACAGAACAGAGGGGAGAGTCTGCTGCCCTGGGCTGCCTACCTGTGTGGGGCACCTGACTCTGGAGTGTTGGAGGAGGGGAAAGGTATGCTTTGACTGAGCCTGAGCTGGGTCAGGTCCTGGACCAATCCTCTCCTCTTTTGAGAAACAGAGAGTGGGAAGAGTAGTGTTCCCAGCACAGCACTGGCCAGTGTGAAAGGAAACAGACCCTTGCCTGTAAAGGCCCCTTAGTGGGACTCAAGGCTGCTGCTCTGCTCTGCCCGGGGATTTTGTAGCAATATCCGATTTGCCCACCAGGTGGCACCAAACCAGAGGCTGGACATAGCATCAATGACCAAGCTGAGTTGGGCTTCACATTTCTCCAGCCTGACTGCATCCCACCTTCCATGCTATTACCATTCCTTTACCCCCTCCTCTGTCCTCATACCTTAGTGCAGACACCCGTGGTGGCGTCACAGAGGGTCAGGATGGACACATTCTGGGCTCGGTTCAGCCAGGTCACAGCAACCTTGGTGCTGGTGGCCCACTTCACCATGGTGATGTAATACTCCCTGAAAACAAAGACAAGAGTGTGAGCAGGGGCAACGGACACCACGATCTGGCTGCACTCCACGTCTGAACACAAAAGCCAGTGTGTGTAGGTGCGGGGGCTCTGAAATGGCCTCATCCAAGAGCACAGGTGGGTCAAAGCTCCTCATGGACAGCCTAGAATCAGGGTGAACAGTTAACCCTCAGCATCTGCCCGCCCCAGTTGGGCTCTGAAACAATATGGGAACACTGGGGCTGCCCTGCCAGTTATGTGTGTGTGTGTGGGGGGGGCGGTCACACGCTCTCCCTGGGGCTCTCCTGACTTCATCACAGGAGAAGGCTTACCAAAAGCACAACTCTACACAAGCTGATACGCTGGGAATGCAGGGTGGAGAAGGACCTGGCAGAGAGGTAAGGGTGGGGATTGAGGGCGAGGGAAGATGGGCCCTGCAGGGGAGCCTCAGAGGGCTAAGCCTTCAGAGACTCTGAGGCTGGGCTGCTGAGGGTTCAGTTCTTTTTTTTTCACTCTTTAAGGAGAAAATACCCAGGATTAGGGCCAATGGCTCTGGTCCTGGGCTTTGGTGAACTTAGTTTGGTGTCATGTGCTGGATTTTACCCAAACCTGAAAATACCACCATGCTCGGAGTGTCTGATACTAATATTGGGAGGGCGGGAGGCTTATGCTGATTAATTTTATCACTCAGGGCTCTCCAAGGCTAGGGCGCCCCACTTTGTATGGGCAAGGAAGAAGAAAATGTCAAGAAAGTAAGTGCCCCAAATAGGTATCCTCAGGTGACTCCCTGGATTGTTCTAGAAGTCATCTAACACGTTTAGTGGCCTGCCTGTCCTCTATAATGAGATCTGCTGTTGGGGATGAGCACTTGGTGCTCTTAGATCTTTTATCACAGGCAACAGTGGCACACTCACCAGGCCCTCCTGGTGAACTGAAAGGGGGTCTTTCTATACTTACGTTCCAGAGAAAGGCCTGAATAAATGGGTACTTGCAGCAAGGCCTCCATTAATCAGGAAACCCAGTCGCTGACTGTTGCCTATTCCCCAAATCGACCTGATGACCATTTTCAGTCACTGAACTGAGAAACAGGTCAAGCACACACCCTCTAAACAGAAAGTGTGACCCACTGGGTAGGGGTGAGAGGGGCCCTACAACTGTCCCACACAGTCCTGGGGAACCTCTGAAGGCCTTGTGGGTAAGGAATACATCACATCTACACTCAGACAGGAGGCATTGCTAGATACAACCAACTCTCATGATTTTAACCTTCTGGGTCCTGAGATTTCTAAAACAAGGCCATTTCTGTTCATGCCATCTGCTCTCTTGCCTGCAGGCCCAGTGAATCTGGATCTGGGCACAGCGTTTATAGGGTCTGTCTCCTCCCTTGTCCCCGGTCCCACACCTGCTGTGAAAGGCACATACCCTAGAGGGGTGCTTCTGTGTTTCACAGCCTCTTGATGGGGCATGAGAAAACTGAGAAAATGCCCCTACCAGACTGTCCTTCGGGCAAGCTTGTGTTACGTTTCATTGGTTGATAATTGCTGTGGGAGGGTCCATATCACTGTGAAAGCTGCCACCTACAGGTTGGTAGTTCTGGGTGCTATAACAAAGCAGATCCAGCCAGTAAGCAGCATTTCTTCATGGGCTCTGCTTCCATTCCCACCTCCATATCCTTGCCTTCAGTTCCTTCCCTGATTTTTCCCTGGATGATAGACTAAGAGCTGTTAGGTGAAAGAAACCGTTTCCTCCTCAAGTTGCTTTGGTCATGGTGTTTTTATCACACCAGCAAAAAGCATAACCAAGACATTCTATAAAAAGATCAGGCCCAGGAATGTGTGCCTGTAGTCCCAGTACTGCGGGGAGGCTCCCTGGGGGCATGTGATCAGCCAGTATGAACTGGTAAGTTCCAGGTTTAGTGGAGACCCTGTCTCAAAAAATTAAGGTAGCAAGTCACTGAAAAAAAAAAACCACAAAACCTGATGTGACTGCTGGCCTCGACACACACATGCACACATATATGTATATACATACATGTGTGTACACACATGCAATCACTTTCATTCACATGTGTACATACCTACTTACCCCCACATACTTGTGCACATACACGCACACACACATTCCCCGTATAAACACACACATGTGTGAACATAAATGAATAATCCCCCATGCACTCTCATGCATGTGCACACACACATGTACTCACTGCCATACATATACATACAGTGGTTGGAGGTCACCAGCTTGAAGCTCCCCAAGGATAACATGTGCTAATGACCTCTTGGGTTATATGTGCATAGGCAGCCATGCAAGTGGGTGGGAAGAATTGCCTCTCTCACAGCCTGGCCTTCCCACTAATGAGGGACCTGTACCGGTTTCAATTGTTGGCACACTCATTCTCCACCTCTTGGTTATATAAAAAATTCTTACACTAGTAGTCAAATGCAGTGACCCTTATTCTAAACTTCCTGTTCCTGATTTATATATGAAGCACTATAAATGAAAATAGATGAATGAACACAACCTTCTCTTCTGGAAACCAACTCATCAGTGGGACTTATAGAACAGTCACTAAAAAATGGGTGGCGCTGGGCTGGGCACTTCTGGAACAAGTCATCAAGAGCTGTCACCAGTCCTTGATTCAGGGCTCAGGGAACAGGTCTGAAGAGGGGGAAGAAAGAACCTAAGAGGTGGTTGGTGATGGGAGCTGTGAATGCTGACTTCTGGGCATGGTGCTGCTGTAGGCATCAAGGCACAGCAGCTGTGCTTGCCTGCACAAGATTTGTACAAGATCAAGCCAGCCAGGATTCCAACTAGGGGTGGGGCCCCCATGGCCCTATCCTAGGCAGATAAACTATTAGCCACTGACGGCTGGGAGGGAGTCACTTTGGGGATGTGACTGTTGACAGGGAGTCCACGTCCCAGTGGATAGCTACCACATATGCTTGCACCATGGGCAGCACAAAGCAGACTTAGGGCTAATTAGACACAGCAAGAAAGGAGGATGTGGACTTGGGAGGGCGATGGTGTGGGGGCACTAGTGGAAGTTGGAGGAGACAGTGGTGGATAGATACAAACAAAGTACATTGTATCAATATATGAAATTTTGACTAAACTATAGGTCTCCATTTCCAGTCCTTTGAATGTGCAAATGCTCTGTTAGACAAATGCAGTACTGTGGAATGAAAAGAAATTAGCAAGCAGTTAAGGGAGAGGACAAGAAAAATGGGAAGGATAACCGTTCTGAGGAAGTCAGGGCTGGACCGGGCACAGGAGGGATGTAGCTTGTTTGCTGAATCATCTTCCCATTAAATGCTCTGGACACAGATGCAGTATGGGGTGTTGCTTATTTCTTTGGCTCAGACAGCTTCGTTGAACCTGTTGCCAACATTCATATCTGGAGGTTCCATCTCCTTCAGACAAATTTCTAGATTTGAGTGCCCAAGGAGCACACTTTTATTTTACTAATTTATGTGTATGGGAGTTTGGCCTGGTGCCTGCAGAGGCCAGAAGAGGGGATCAGTGCCCCTGAAACTGGAGTTACAGATGGTTTTGAGTCGCCATGTGGGTGCTAGGAATGGCACCTGGGTCCTCTGGAAGAGCAGTTAGTGATCTTAACTGCGGAGCATCTCTCCAGCTTGGGTGCTTCCTGAAATCTGCTTCATGGCTGCACTTGTGAATGCCGAGAGTATATTCTCAGGTCACTGCCTCATTGATGGCAGAACGTTCTCCTTTTCAGTCCCTTTCCTTGCAGGGATCAGTCTGCTGGACCCAGGCTGGAAAGGTTTCTGATGGTCTCTCTAGCCTAAAGGATGCTGTTTGCTCACAGTTACTCGCAGGGTACTCAGAGTAGAGGCTACGGACAGCAGGGTTCTACTTAAAGAACTGTAGGCATTGATGGGCAGGCATGGCCTCACAGGTTAGATGGAGGCTGGATGAGCAGGTCTTTAACTTCAGCTCAGGGACTGACACTACAGAGGAAGTAGGCGCTGCCTGGGAGCATATGGGAAGGACACTTGCAGCTTGGCCTAGGAGCTGCCTTAGATCAGAGCACAGAGGTGAGCACACTGGTGAGCAGTGGATGAATGTTTGATTAGCCCACTTGTCTGCCGTAAAATATGAATGGATATTGTTTCTCTCACAGGGAAGCGTACCATGTCACTTTTGGTATTTCTGATTCTGATACAGGTTCTGACAGCCTGTGGCAATAAAGGGCAAAGGGAACAAAGTCCTGTGAACTCAGGCATCTTAAAGCAATGTTTATTTCATGGATCAAGCCGGAAGCGAACACACTGAGAGGGGAAATCTGTGTGGAAAATGGTGTGCTTCAGTAGAGGGCAACCTTGAGCAAGCTGTCATAATGCTGAGCACAAGGCTGCCTGCAGTGAAGTTCACAGTCCTATCTGGGTCCTCAGAGTCATCAGGCAACTATTAAGATACATGCAGGCCCTCTCTGCATTCTAGTTTAATGAAGTCAAAGTCTATCTGTTTGTTTATCACACTGCCTGTCCATCCACCCACCCATTCATCCACTCATCATACTCTTGTCTGTCCATCATCCATTATTAATTCATTGTCCTCTACTTTCTATCCATCCATCCATCCATCCATCCATCCATCCATCCATCCATCCATCCATTTGCTAACTCATCCAATATAATTGCCCAATTAACCTATCCATCTTGTATCTATCCATCTACCCTCACTCCAATCCATCTTTGACCTATGTATCAATATATCCATCCTATCATCCATCCATCCATCCATTCACAATCTATTCCAATCCTTCCAATCCAATCCATCTATTCAGTCATCCAATCCATTTATTAGCTCATCTAATCCAATACATTCCTTCCATCTATCTTCTACTATCCATCAATCTAATCTAATCCATGCATTCATACACCCTTCCAATCTACCAGTCTATCTACTACCCATCTATCTATCCATCCATCATATATCCATCTACACAGGCTGCATCCATCACACATCTATCCATACAGGCTCCGT